TACTTCATTTTACAAAAATGAAGTGAAAAGCATCATAAGGAACAATAAGAATATTATAAACTATTAAAAGGCCAACATATATTAGGGTGCCTGGGTAGCTCAGTCAGTTAAGCATCTGACTTTGGCTCAGGTCATGATCTCAGGGTCCTGGGATCAAGCCCCATGTCCAGTCCCGCTCAGCTTGTCCCTCTCCCTCTGCCCCTCCCCCCACTTGTGCTCTCTGTCTCTCAAATAAATAAATAAAAATCCTTTAAAAATAAATAAAAGGCCAACATATCAGAGCTAAAACAACCACTTAGTAAAGGCACTCACTATTGTGTCAGGCACTGTGCTAGGCCCTCACCTAGCAAAAAAAACCCAGTAAAACTATGAGGCATCCAAGTTAGTCAAACCTCCAAGTTAGTCAGAACTGCCCCTCCAAAAAATAAGTGAGAGCTCAAATAACCCAGGAGCTCTCCTTAATCTGATGAATTGATGCATATATTTTTTCTTTTGGTGTTGGTATTTCTATCCTAATCCCTCCAAATGTCCAACAAAAAGAAAATGTTTTATTTAGGCTTTTTTCCATGTCACCATTCTTTCCTCCAGGCCTAGTGGCTTTCACTTTAGCAATACTTTCTAGCTCTTAAGGCTTTCCAGTACATAAAAATTTTATACCCCCAAGGCTCCTGAGACTGCACAAGGAGAAACGAAAACATTCCACAGTGTATGACTAGGGATCCCAGGAAGTCTGGCAGCCTTTACCTCAGATATACCACAGAAAGTTTCCCAGTTTCCCAGTCTTGGGGCTTCATATTGGTACTGCGACCCAAAAGAAATTTATTATTTTTACTAAGGTGATGATATTCTTGATAAAAAGAGAGATTAAAAAAAAAAAGACTGACCAAGTTTAAATTTGGTTTGCCTTGGGAATTATTATGCAAAGCACAATTTTATAGTAGGCAAGTATTTCAAGGTTGCTATACTTGGCAAGAAGGTAAGGAATAGACATGGAATCAAAGTCATGGGACATGCAGTTTAATGAAACATATTGGGCATCAAACTTGAAGTCCAGCTTGTAGTGGATGAAATTACATATTCTCAGCCAATTATAAAACGGACCTCAGCTCCCTGATCTGGAAAGGGGGTAAATGCTGAGTAGTCTTTTTTTTTTTTTTTTTTTGAACCAAAGGACATGGCTGAGTTTTACATAAAATGGGGTTGGTTTTAAAAACAAGATTTCAGCTTAGGACATCATGTGTCTGTTTTTTAAGTTCCTTTGGTAGGCCCAAATGGCATCATAAATTTAATGTACTGAAATTTGAGCTTTTTCATGCAGGAAATCAGGCCAGGATATGTCAGCTCACCAATAAAAGCATATTATTCTTGGAGGTATAAAATATTTGTTCTGTAGCTACAAACATATTAAAATTTCCTTCAGTTTGAATTTTACGTGTTCCTCGTGGAACATGTGATGAAGCTCTATGGTCTTGGCAGACACTGAGTAACCTCCTCTGGAATCTCTTTGGCCTGGACCTTAGTACAGCTTGGTCCTGCTTTTCTTCACCTTGATAGGTATCTGGGGATGAGATCATGACTTGATTTTCTCCTCTCATGAATCACATATCTGAGGCCTCGTTTCTAAAGAATAGATCTCTGATTGCTTGTTTAAGTTCTTTACTAATATGAGGATCTGCAGAGGATGTTAGCAAAAACTTAGAGACAGAGTGATAAGAAATTATATTGTCATGCCATTTAAATAGAATTCAAAAATATGTTCAGCATAACTAAGGATTCTGAAAGACAGGTCAGGATGATGGCATTTCATGAAAAAGCTAGAGAATAAGACGTTATTTTACAATAAAATGAAAGCTTAGTCTCCAAGATCAGAGGTTTAAAGAAAAGGATATGTTAAAATCTGCAAAGGAAAGAGAAGTCCCCTTTCTTCTTAGTTTTCTAAAACCCAGCAGGACCAACCTTATTGCATCCTAGGTGAAACCGACTTCATCAATTCTTCCTTTAAAGCTAAATTGGTCATATTGTAGTGAATAACAGACTGTCTACATGCCAAGTGCATCATCCTTTATAACTAACTGTGTAATGAGTTAACCTGAGAAAGAGAGGCAGAAGTATTTAGTGGCTCTAAGGAACACCAGGCTTCTGAGATGTGAAGGATTCTCATGCACACACAAAAGAACTTATGTAGTCAAGTGCTTAGTACTAAAAGTAACTCAGGACAAGTGTTAAACTGTGGCCACCATTGACCCTGATCTTAAGTATAAATGCCTTGAATTCCTATTGCAAACATTTCTGAGCATAGGTATAATTTTGTGGAGATGCTGTATGAATACAAACAGCCTTGGTTTAGACTCTTATAAGAGAGTTTCTCTCTCTTCCTTCAATTTTCTCATGCATCATGCAACTGAAAGACTTGTTATTCTAGAGTATGACTAGTTTCTCCTAAATTAGAAAGAAGGCCCTAGAAGCACAGAATTACAGATAAACTGCACATCTTGAAGTTACCTACTCATTTCTCCTATATTAAGGAGAGAATGCTGACCTCTGGAGAGGTTAAATGAAAACACTAGCTGATGCCCAAGTTCCCCTTGTCTCAGTCTGGTGGTAAGCCTACTACAGTAATGAAAATGATTCCTACCACTAGTCAGAAAAATACAACTGCCATGCTTCTTCAACTCCAAAACCTGGTATATTGGAGGAAATTTCAGGCAGCCCTAGCACTTTGCACACTGGCCCCCAATTGCCCTCAACTGTCATTCATGAATGTATGGTTTCATTTTCTTAATCCATCTGTTTGGAGTGTACTCTTATTATAGAAGTAAAATATGTTCAAACTCTGAAAGCTGGTTTTAAAAAATCCATAATTATTGGTAAATCTGAAGTAATAAATGAAGGAATTTTGACATAATAATCCAGCTGCTAGCACCATTGTATAAATGTGCTTGGCTTCTTATTACATGCTTCTAGCTCCAGGAAGAAAAATGCCATCATGTTTCTAGAGTCTGTAGCTATAAAAAATAAGAATATGTTTAAGCTGAAGAGCAAAATGGGGCTTATGGATAATAATTGTTTCACTTTGAAAAATTACTTCCACAAGAACCATTGAGTTTAGTTGAAAAACACATAACTATCAGAATTCACATACCATGACTTACACCTGGACTTCCATAGCCCTAAACATGTGTAACTAAAAGTAATGGTAATGAAGGCTTTGAAAAGAATAGGAAGGTTGACAATAAATAACTCAGGTCTAGAAAATGGGCTGACCATATCTGAACTGGACATGATGTACGGAGCTACTGCCGTCATCATGTCCATAGTGCTGCTGGTGTGACCCACCCCAGTAATTGACTGCCTTCTCAGGTGTCCAGGGAGATTTTGGATACATTATAGCCTTTCCACTTTACTTTCTAATGCCATCTACCAGTTTTCATATTTATCATCTTGGATAGGTTGAGATACACAAACAAAAAGAATGGGTGGGTAGAAAGGTTAATCGCAGTTGCCTTAAGTAAAAGTAATTAAAACAACAGTATAATAATAATGGGTTACTATACATCATAGTTTTCCTGGGGCAATTTTATTCTAAGTCTCATGTAACGTTTGTCCCAGACAAAACTTCCAGGTTTGGTAAATTATATCATTGTTCAAATAACGGTTGATAATATTTTAGTGTTTATTATATGCCACCAAGTATAAAAGATGTGTCATCTAACTTAATCCTTTCAACAACACTATACAATATAAATTATTATTGTAATACCCATTTTATGAATGAAGAAGCAGTAAAGCACAGAGTTCATGTAATTTAACAATTATCAGCTAACCATTAATCGATGGAGTCAGAATTGCTGACTCCAATTCTTTTTTTTTTTTTTTTGAAGACTTTATTTATTTATTTGAGAGAGAAAGAGCACAGAGGGAGAGTGAGAGGGAGAAGCAGACTCCCCACCGAGCAGGGAGCCGGACGCGGGGCTCGATCCCAAGACCCTGGGACCATGACCCCAGCGGAAGGCAGATGCTCAACCGACTGAGCCACTCAGGCACCCCGCTGACTCCAATTCTTTATGACAACTCTTGACTGCCTCATAACAAATTCACATTTCCTGGCTTTGTCAAGGTAAATATTAAAATTGTAAGTGGGAATAAGTTTCAATAGCTGAACCATAAATTTAGTAAATCGCTTATTTTTAAACTGTCAGATAGGATTTGATTGCTGCCATGACGTGTTTCAAAAAAGCAGAAAGTTCTTTTAGCAAGTCTGGACTATGAAAATCAGGGCCTATCCTTTGAAACCTTAAGAGATAAATTAAGCAGAAATTATGAAAACGTATTTTATAGAGTGAAGATACATTTATGGATCTTCTTGCTGTCAGGTGTTGATACAGACTAAAATTCAACCATGTTTGGATGATAACTTTAGGAATGACAGGTTAAGAGTAAGTTAATAAGTGCTGGAGTGGGGGGAACATGTCACTTTTTAAGGATGATATTAGAGAGGAAGCCTCCTTAGAGCACACTAGAAAGCCATGTGGCCTAAGAATGGGTCTGACCCAGTTGGGTAATTTTCATCTTTTCTCATGACAGTTGGGCAAAAATCTCCCAAACCACATAAAACTTTGAAATAGCAGTTGCTTCAAACTAAAGAACATTTTGTATTTACAGTACATTGTGAAATCTGGTCCTCTTTTTCCTTCAGCCAGAAATCCCCATTAACCAGCATTGCATTTCCTGAGGTCTACAATTGCCATTCTTCATGAAGAACAACTTAAAATATCTTCTAAATCATTAAGAATTATACTGAAAGCAATGCTATTGGTTCCCATTTCTGTGAAACTTGCTAATCTTTGAAGACACATGTACAGTAACTGTTTGTTACCAAGAATATCTGAATAATTTGAACATTCCATTCTCTAATTCATTGATTAGAGTATTCACCATATATGTGGACAAGATTTCTAGTACCATAAGAGGTTTTTTATTTGTTGTCTTGTTTTGTTTTTTCAAGTGGCATATGCATACACAGATGAATAACATTTGGTAGCCTTACACTCGAAAATGAAGTTTGGCAACATGTTGCTCTGCAAAGTCTCAATATCAAGGAAAAATTTATGTTTTAGTTGCACAATGGATTGCAGTATGCACTCCATTATTGAATATAGTTTGTTCATATCTATAAGAAACAAGGACAAACAAGATACAAAATTACAGCAGGGGAAATATGCTAAGGAGTCTATTTCTAGGAGGCCAATGATCACACTTAAAGTATTTTAATATGAGTAGATGAATTACACTGTCCACTGGACCATTTAATATTCTTTTTGACAGGAGGACCAGAGAATGTTCATGGCTATACTGCCATATTGTGTGTGCTCGCCAGAGAGGCTGAGGTAAACTTGCCAGAAAGATGTGAGCTCAGTACGTGTCTGTATAATCACTTGAAAAGTCTACTGAGAAACATTTGAATAAAAAGATAAGTTCTGAGTAACTCCAATTAAATTTAGATGGTATACTCTTTCTGCTAAAAAGTATTGTTTTTCATGGCATTTCTTTTTTGCAGTCATCTATAATTTGCATGTAATACCACCAAACATACACATTTACCACCACCACATACATACAAATGCATTCATACATATGTGTAAGTTCATATGTATGTATGTGTATGTGCTGGCTGTGCACAGTAGCATGGAACTTTGAAAATGACCATATAAACTGAAACTGTGCAAAGTGATCTTAACAGCAATCAAAGGGGAAAATTCTAACTGTTCTGTTACCTATAAAAATTTTGTCTAAATGTTAAAAACTCTGTGTCAGTTTTAAATGTATTTCAAAAATGAAAACAAGGGCAAATTATTATTTACTTAATACACTGTAATTTAAACAATTAGAAATATTTGGAATTAGAGTGTTTTATTTGTAAAAAACATATCAAGAGTGGTTCTTTGAACAGTGCTTCCCTTCTTGTCATGTAACAGGATACAGAGCTACCATCTTTTCTAAGCCCTGGAGAACTGTCATATTTCTTTCCAAGTTTGAATATGCTTTCAGCATTTTCTCCTTTGTACTTTCAATATTGTGAAATATTTCCAAGACTTTAATATGAAGTGTTTTGCTAGCATTGCATCCTCTAAGATGCCTTCATCCTTTTGGTCACAATCACATCCTCTGTTTATGTCAATAAGTTCTCCTGGCTGCACATTTAGACTCTTAGATGGGGGTTGTGTCAACATTCCCACGGTCAGTCATTTCTTCTATAACTCCATTTATGCCCACTTTGAATTTTACCTCCAGCATTATCGTTCTTCATTTGTTTGCTCTGCTTTGATCTTTGTTGGCCAATTTTCCTTTTTTGATCATTCATTTTTGTAAATGTCAGTGGGTTTACACCTGGAGGACAAGGAAGTAATGCAACGATATCCTTTGCTGTCTGCGGATGAACCAAATCACAAATGTGCAGTGACCAATCATTGACAGACTTTGAAAGAAGTGATGTGATTGGTCCCAGATGATGGCATCTGTTATTTACATAGTGATTTATGGACTGAGAGCTAGCTAAGTTTGTATCTAATACAATCACTGACAGTTATCACTGAAATTTGAGCAATGTTGTAAGAAGACTGGTTTTACTTACTGAAATTTGTGTATATCAGAACTGTGCAAAGAAAGGAATGCCTGTAAAATCCTCATTTTCCCATTGTTATACGTTGGGCTATTCCCTGCTCTCAAATACTTAAATACAATAAAAGTTGAAGCAAAGTTGACCAAGATGTAGATGGATTAATCTCACTTCGGACACAAATAAAACACTCAGTGTTGAAGAACTGCATTTGCTAGGAAGAGCAATTAAAATGCACCCTTCCCTCACATCATGTGGAGGCTAGTGATCAATTAAAATCCATAAAAACATAAAAAACAGGCTACACAAAAGCCATCCTTGGGCTTTTTATAAGCTTGCAAATCTTAATTAGGGAAGGGAAAGTCTTCAATGGACTTGTTCTACATGAGAATATGAAAGTAATATGTAAAATAGACAGCAAGTGTTGAGGTAAGATTTGTCAGGAGGCTACATTATCCATTACATTAGTAGGGCACAGAACTACTATAGGTAAGAGTTATTTTTTTTTTTAAGATTTTATTTATTTGTCAGAGAGAGAGCACAAGCAGGGGGAGTGGCAGGCAGACAGAGAAGCAGGCTCCCCGCTGAGCAGGGAGCCCGATGCAGGGCTCAATCCCAGGACCCTGGGATCATGACCTGAGCCAAAGGCAGATGCTTAACCAACTGAGCCACCCAGGTGCCCGATGGGTAAGAGTTATTAAGACAATGACAGTAATAATGAAGAGAGTGAATGACTACTGCAGAGGTGCCAGAGCTAGGACTTGTCGCTGGGAGATAAACATGGGGAAAGGAGCCATTTGGAGAAAACTATAGTTTCAAGCTTGAGTGATTTGAAGAAACCTGATGATCTGATCCTCACAAGATACCAGTAATGTTTAATGTAATTCATTTGAAGCAGATAAAAACAATTGCTAGGTTCTCTTAGTAGGTTGCAAGTGTTGTCTTACATGGTCATTCACCTATCTTGCTGGGTCTCTTAATTTATAGACTATCATAAAAAATAAATAAATAAAGAGCAGGAAGCATGATCTACTCCTTTAAGCTTTCTTCCATCTGGTGTTCCAGCATGTTTCAGACAATAAAAGCTTCTGTCTCAAAATGTGGAGATAATTATATATATATATATGTGTGTGTGTGTGTGTGTGTGTGTGTGTGTGTGTGTATACATATATAATGTATGTATGTAATAGAGGCAACAAATCAAGGCTTTCCAATTTTCCCACATCACAGTTTTAGAAAATCAGAGGCGTGTTGTGCACATTTTTAGTTTGTCTTAGTCTGTTTGCCATCAGTGATCATATGTTTCTAATATTATGAGCCTCACAAATGCCATAGTACCTCTTACATTTGTCTCACAACATGTGTTTGCCAACTTTTGTCCACAAGGGAAAGCATTTATAAATGCCAAGTAGGTCTGGCATAATTGTTCAAATACAGAGAACTTACAATAAGTTGAGCCATGGGCGGGGGGGGGGGAAGAGGGGGCGGGGAAGAATTTACAGAGAATGAATACTTGGTAATATTAGAATAATATTGCCAATAGAGGATTATTAATGCTTTTGTTACCATAATCCAGTTTGCCTGAGTATCACAGTATATTCTTTTATAAATCAAACTTAAAATCATTATGCATGATTACCTTTTTACTTAGAAGTGCTGGTGCAACGCAACCTACAGTAGATTCGGATACATTCAACTGTGGCTTGTACATGTTTCTCACATGATATACTAGAGTAGACAAGGCTTTTCTGCCAATATAAGTAATGAAACTGTATCAGAACATGACTTGGGTCATGTGGCACAGCATGCTAAAAGAGGGGAGAGTTGAGGTCCAATTCTGATTTTGCCTTTTACTCAGTATGGTCTAGGTAGAATAAGAGAACACATTAAGCCTCAGATCATTCATTTATAATTTGCGATAATAACAATTCTAGTCAAGTCAGAGGTTTTTTTTTTTAAAGACTTTATTTATTTGACAGAGAGAGACACTGAGAGAGAAGAAACACAAGCAGGGGGAGCGGGAGAGGGAGAAGCAGGCTTCCCGCCAAGCAGGAAGCCAGACGTGGGGTTCGAACCCAGGACTCTGGGATCATGACCGGAGCTGAAGGCAGACGCTTAAGGACGGAGCCACCCAGGCGCCCCTCAAGTCAGAGTTTTGTCATTAAAAGCAAGCAAGGAATAAAGTCCTACTACATAAACTTACAAAACATTATACAAATATAAAGGTTTCTTATTATTATTATCTATAAAACAGGCTTTTTTTACATTGGAAAATCTACGATGTATAACAGATTCACATTTATTAAACTTTTTCATACATAGAATGTACTTGAATTACAAGGGGATTACATTCTGGTAAATTAATCGTAAATTGAAAATATCATAAATTGAAAATGCATTCAATACATTTGACCTACCGAACATCATAGCTTAACCTAATGCAACTTAAATGTGCTCGGAACACTTACATTAGCCTACAGTTGAGCAACATCATCTAAAACAAAGCCTATTTTTATAATAAAGTATTGAATATCTCATGTAATTTTTTGAATCCTGTACTAAAAGCAAAAAACACAATGGCTGTATTGGTGCAGAATGATTGTAAGTCTATCGGTTGCTCACCCTCATGATTGCGTGGCTGACTGGGGGCTCTGGCTTGCTACCTCTGCCCAGCATCATGAGAGAGGATCATACCACGTGTCATTAGCCCAGAAACAGATCCAAGTTCAAAATTCAAAGTACAATTTCTATTGAATATATATGGCCTCTTACATCATCATAAAGTCAAAAAATCGTAAGCTGAACCATAAGTAAAGTCAGGACCGTCTGTACTTTTTGCTAGTAGAGATAAAAATGAGGAGTAGGATCAACAGAGAGAGGAAATAGGGTATTAAAAAGGATTTTGGCTACATGTTAATGAACCCTCCATCTCACATTAAGTTCTTGAGCAGTGATGGACAGCATAAAGCCTGTGGAGGAATATGTTGCTGGCTGAGTTTGGAGATACATGACAATCTGTGAATGAAACATGAAAGTACTGCTGCCAGTCTCTATTTTCAAACATATCAAAGACCAAGTGTTAGTGGTTCTAACACAGACCAATTCCATGCTGGCATTCAGTAAAGCAGGTGCTAAAGGTTTTTTATATGCCATTTTTCAGTATAGTTCAAATATAACAAATTTTATATGGAAGGAAAAAAATGTGGCCAATAAATATTTTTTCCTCCTAGAAATTTTGGAGAAAGAAGAGGAAATAGGAGAACTTACCTCATCACTTTTTAATGCATACCGTATCATAGTAATAAAAAAAAGTATATTCCTGGTACAGGAAGAGATACACAGAACCAAGGAAAGCAAGAATGCCCAGAAACAGATCTATTTATGTAGTGTTATGTAATAATGGTGACAACACAGATCAGAGGTGGAGTGGATAGATTTTTTTTAATTCATTAAATTTATAATATTGGATAGATTTTTTTAATTTATTAAATTTATATTATTGGCTTTCTATACAGGAAAAAATAAAATTCAACTTATCTTTCAAAAACACAGATGAGTCAAATGCAGATTAACTAAAAATCTAAATGGTAAGGTAAAAGTATAAGACAAATAATAAATGCAGATAAAAAAAGATTTAAAAAATGCAGAAGGATATCTTTTGATTTTGGAATAGAAATTTCTTCAATAAAATGCAGAAGCACAAACCAAAAAATATATATATATATGATTCAACCATATCAAAATTAATGATTTCTTTTCAATGAAGAATATCAAGACAAAGTTGTTAAAGCAGGACCCACTGGAAGAATTTATTAGTGACGCCTAAATGGAGAAGTAAATAATATCTAAAATTAACAAAAGATTCTCATTAATTAGCAAGAAAATGATGCTGAAAACAACAGAAAAATGGCCCAAGGAAATGTATAGGCAACTTATAAATGGAGATCCTAAATAGTTTCATGTAGGAATGACATGATAAACTGATTTTTTTCAAGTTTTTATTTAAATTCCAGTTAGTTAACATATAGTGTATATTAGTTTCTGGAGAATTTAGTGATTTATCATTTACATATAACACCCAGTGTTCATCACAAGTCCCTTATGCCAACAGAGAATGCATATGGGGTCCTATTTTTCTCCATTAACCTAACAAAAATTTTTAAATGCTCAATAATACTGTTCTAAAAACACATGGGGAAATATAAGCCTTTATAAATTATTAGAGGGCGATCAACAAGTGTAGCCTTTCTGGAAAGTAGCACAGCAGCATATTGCCTCTGACCCAGCAATCCTACTTCTTAGCATGCCCACAGGGACTCACACACAGGTCCATGGGTGAACATGGGTGTGGACGTTCATCAGAACAGTTCTGGGGGGATTGGGAAGCTCATACAATGGAAATATGTAACAGTATATTATGCAGCAATCAAAGCACTGAAGTCGATGAGCATGTATATGTATGTATTGTGCATGTCTTATCTCACTATGAGTGGGTGCTAAATGCATGACGTTGGGTAGGAAAAAAGTGAAAAAGAAAACAAGAATATAACACATTTTAAAAAAAATTTTTTTTAATTTTATCATTTTTTTAAAAACAAGGTAGCATACTGGAAACAATCATTCATATAGATATATAGATATAAATATAGTTTTTAAGATTACATCCATACTGAAGTCATATATTAAACATATTAGATTGGGTCCCTGTAGGTGGTAGAGGCTGAAGTAGGAAAATCAATAGCCTCAGATAAACAGACCAATGGTAGCGTGCCATGAAGTGAGACTATAATTAGCTAAACTATATGGAAATGAGACTCATAAAACAAAAAGCAAAAAGTCAATTAAAATGTATCTTAATGAATTGAAGATAATGAATTTAATTTTTGTTTATGATTTTTTTCTAAAAATACCCTTAACGCTAACATAAATATATCCCCCCCAAAAAGACCATTAATATTGGCATGTGTAAGAAATGGCAGGGATAGCAAAAGAAGTAATGAGATATTAGTGTTTGGTCTGATAATATAATAACATAACTATTTGAAAGTAGTACATGATATAATAATCTTGTCTGAAATAGCAGGAAGGAATGCAATGCACAGTGGTAGGAAAACACTAGCAGAAATTTTAAAGATTATTTATTTATTTATTTATTTGAGAGAGAGAATGAGATAGAGAGAGAGAGCATGAGAGGGGTGAGGGTCAGAGGGATAAGCAGACTCCCTGCTGAGCAGGGAGCCCGATGCGGGACTCGATCCCGGGACTCCAGGATCATGACCTGAGCCGAAGGCAGTCGCTTAACCAACTGAGCTACCGAGGCGCCCTAGCAGAAATTTTAAAGCACAAGCTGATACCATCTAGAATTAAAACTCTGTGTTGGTCTTGGATACATTCCCTCAGGTAGACAGATGGAGAATTCCCATTATGCTAATAATATTTTTAAATTGGCCAAACCTCAAAATTTTATTCTGTGGATGACATCTAATACAGACAGCTAAATTTTCTGATCTAGCAAACTAAATTCTAATTTTATATAATTCTTTGTTGTCTCTAGGCCAGGGATTATTAACCATTTTTTTTGTGTGTGGAATGGACTCTTTGGTTGTCCGTAAAGCCTTTGGACTCCTCAGAATCATTTTCATCCGAATTCAATATTCATTTATTAAATATTAACAGGCTTTGCTATCGTTTGTGATTCTCAGGAGGAAGACAGTGATAGGTACTAGATATTTATAGACAGACAAGTTTTGTAAATTTTTTTGCACAGCTGCAGCTCCTCTTGCCCATGAGTAGCACTGACTACCCTTGTTGCCTAACAACACCACTTTATCAAAGACAACCCTGTAGTCAACTGAATTGAAAGAGTCAGAAGTTGAAATGGAAAGTATAGTAGTAATGTGTCTAGATTGAGATTTGCCTGGTTTTCTATAACTTGTGAAAACACTGGCTTTGGGAGTATTTTTTCTTGTTTATAACCCCATTAACATAGAAGTGGAATGTCAGTAAAATGTTGCACCAATCTTATCTATTTTTAGCCAGAAATGATCTCAGGCAGCCTGAAGCAATTGCTGAGAGTATTTTAGCCTGTGCAGGTTCAGGCAGAGTCAAGAATAATCATTTGAAAAGTGCTTCAAGGAGTCAAGCTTCAAATTTTTTCTTCTATCATAAAATTTAATTCTATTTTGAAGCTATCTGGTACCTAAAACTGAGATATTGAAAATAATTTCCTGTTCCTTTTTCCCCCTTTTTAACACATGTGGTTTTGCACCCTGCTGTCTCCCCAGTGTCTCAGTTAGTTGGTCAATTTAAGGCATGAATAATGTTAGATGCCAAAAGGGGGGGGGAAGGAGTAACTACCCTCTGGGACCTCCTTTTCTTGTTCATCTTCTGCCTCTTCCTTTTTCACAATTAGCAAGCTAAGAGGCAGAGATCAATGGATTTTAAGAAATATATGCATGCTGCCAGTTTAGGAAAGCACGTTGGTTTTGACCAAAACTTACCCTGGATTCTAATTTCCAGATAGGTTCAGGGAAAAATCCACTTGAATCCACCAGCCTACTCTGTTTTCATTGTGTTTTTTTACACCAATCACCAGTATACCATTGCTTTGCACTCAAAATCTGTCTTCTCACACTCTTGGAAGTCTGTCTCCCATGTACCTATATCCCTTTCATTCTTCCCTTTCCAATTATTCTCTTACATCATAAACATTCTATTGACTCCATTTTATTAACTTTATTTTTCTCTT